AGAGTGGTTATAAGCACTTGTGTGTACGTATATTCTATTTCTCTTGGAAGTAAAACTTCTGGGTCATAGTATACCTATATATTTAACTTTATGAGAAACCGTAAAGAATTTTTCAAAGACATTGAATCATTCTGTAATTCTACCATCCTATCATCTTACTCTTTGTTTTCTATTTGTTTTGTCTGTAAAATGTATTTTTTATTGATTTGTTTTTCTTTTGCCATCCTTTGAATTTCATAAAGAACTTTTAACATTCCATTTTCTTTTGTTTAACTTCTTGGTTATACATTAGTTAATTATATTAGAAATCATACCATGCATCTTCCATTTACAAGAGTCTACATAAATCATATCTTTTTCATTTTTTTTTTTAATTGTCAGAGGACATGTGTGCTCACTTGAGAGTGAGATGATAAGACAGAGAAAGAAAGAGAGGGAGAGGAAAAAGCACCCCCAATGGGGAGATCTTGATCTCTTCTCCTTCATTTCTCTATCCTTCCAGGATCTGGGGCATGCATGCACATATCCCCTGCCTGTTTTTTAAGCTTCTGGGGCCAGGATTCAAACTGAGATCGGGCATCTAGAATCTGGTTCCCTTAAGCAGTAGGCCACGAGGCTGGTCCATAAATCATATTCTTATAATTTCTTGGACTATATGAGGGAAGCTCTTCAAAAAGTACATGAAAAATGTATTATAAAAAAACTACATGGATTACAATTTTCTTGTACCAAAATAATCTCATATTTCTTTTTTTTTTTTTTTTGGAGAAATTTTAGGGCACGTGCACTTACCAGAAAGACAGAAAGAGGCAGAGAGACAGAAAGAGAGAAATCACCCCCCAGGGAGATGGCCACACCGCAATCCCTTCCCCTCCATTCTCCTCTCAGGATCTTGGGCATGCATGCACAAGTGCCTGGCATGAGTTTAAGCCACTGGGTCCGGGACTCAAACTGCAATCGACTACATGGAAGTCCAGCGACGGAGCCATTACGCCATCTGCTGGTCCCAATAAGTTCATACTTTTATTTGAGTTTTCCACAAACATTCTGAAATCCCTTTGTTTAGAGATCTTAGAATACTTTAACACCATTTATCATTACCCTTGCTTTTTGGATTATTATTGTCATGGTGCTTTAATTCCGTACATTTTAACCACATAAAGGGAAACTTTATAATTATTTTCAGTCAATATTTATTTAGATTTATCTACATATTTAAACATTCATTTTTAAATATTTTTCTGCCATTTCTGTGTTTCTGTTACCATTTTCCTTTAGCTTGAAAAAACATTATTCAATGTTTATTTTATGCAGTCTTTTGGAAACAATTTGATACAGATTTCATCTAAAAATGTCTTTATTTGTCTTTGTATTAGAAGACTATCATCACTTGATATTGGCTTCTAAGTTTGGAGGTTTTTTAATTTTGTGTTTTATTTTATTTAAATGTGAAAAAAGCCTTTTTATTTTTTTCTGGCTTTATTTTTTATGAAATTTGCTATAGAGACTACTTTGTTTCTTGAAAATAAAGATTTGTAATTGTTCTCTAGCTGCTTTAAAGGTTATCACTTTCATTTTGTTTTCAGTAGACTATAATAATTTTCCTAAATGTTGTTTTTCTTTGTGTTTTTACTGCTTGTGGTTCATATTTCTTGAATTTGTGGCTTGATATCTTTCATTGGCTTTGAAGAATTCTTGGCTATTATGTTTTTAAATATTGTTTCTTTTAGTTTTGCTCTCTGTTATTTTCCTTTTAGGATTATAACCACCCAGCTATCAGACTTTGGTATTTTTTCCTATGTGACTTTAGTTTCTTTTTTCTATTCTCTAGCTTTGTTTTCTCTATACTTTAATCTGGATATATTTTTCCACAAACCTAGTCTCCAAATCATTGTCCTTTCTTCAGTTGTGTCTAAATTTTATGACTCTCTATTGTATTTTTTATTGAAATTTTCAGCCCTTGGAATTCTTATTCTCTGAATAGATTTCACATTGCACATGAAAACTCTCATTTTGTCAGCATTTCCTTGAATTATTGTGCAGTCTATGCCTCATGTCTCTATTACTTCATTATGTCTATATGCTTTTTGGTCATCTATTTTCCCTGGGTCTGTTTGGTCTCAGATTGTTCCGTTCACTTTTCTGCCCTTCACATTCTGAATGCCAATATATTATATATTTTTAAGTTTATTTATTTCTTCTAAGAGAGAGACATGTACTCCAAACAGGGTTCCCATGCTAAGATCTAATCCCAGGCCCAGACAGTCTGGATCACTACCTCTTCACAGCCACATTCTTCCAAACGTATCACCCTTTATTTCTGTGCAGCTCACAAAGAGCTAATAGCTGAAGGATAAAAGTGGCATAAGTATGCTCGTTTCAGTGAACCTCCTTATTCTTTGGGATCTTAGCTCTTTTGAGAGTCCTGCCAACACTCCAAAACTTTCAAGTAGATTCTTGAAAGTATTTTAGTTTCTTGGTGGGAAACCAGTCTACACCAGTCTTTCATAGCCAAAGATTTCCACCTCATGTTTTTATAGCAAAGCCTAATGACTAATGGCCACAGAATCCCTGGGGTTGTTCCTCAGGACAAAGGTGCAAGTGATTTTTAGCTTCAGGGTGAAGGCCAGCTTCCATTAAGAAAAGCTTTGGCCAGCTGTTCTTCCAATTCAGTCACAAGCAAAGCTGAACCAATCAAAGCACATCACTGGCCTTCCCACTCCAGACAAACCTCTAGAAGGAGCAAATACTTCAAAAAGGTGACTCTTAGAAGGAGTCCTGATCTATTCATAAATGTTTAAAAACACTTGAGTGTTCACAATTTTTGTCTGATTATTGTACTGATATTTCTATAGTATAATAATCAGACCAAAACAACACGAGGCAACGCCATCATGCTATAGACAAAAGTGGAGATTGATATAATTATCCCATCAACTTAGACGATGTTCATGATAATAGTTGGATACCTTAAACTCCCTACTCATCTCCCAAAGTGCAAGTGTGTGCATGCACACACACATATAGTCACCCTCCCAAATTTGTATGTGTAAATTTAAATTTATGATACATCAAGAGAAATGTCACACATGTTTTCACTTTTATTGAATAAAATACTACAAGATTTAGTTTTTATTTTCCGAATTTTCAAGTATTTTTTTAAAATTTTGCACAAAATGGAATTAGTTTGACTAAAAGACTAAATATATAACAAAATAATTAATTAATATAATAAATCTGAGTAATGGAACTGGAAAATAAGCTTAAAAAGACAAATATGGTTTACTCATTTCCTTTTAGTTATGAATTTCATTCTTTACCATCTTAAATGAAGACATTCTAACTTTTAAATTTTTCATTTTGCTAGATTTGAAAGGTTAATGTCAAGATCCTTAGAAAAAGAAGACAAACACTAAAAAAAAATTTGAATAATACCAACTTTTTAATTCATTAAATATACTTTGGTAAGAAGAATTTACTAATATTCCAGCGTCTAGTGTTTTATTTATTTATTTTTGTTTGAGAGGTTTTTTCACTATAGGGCGTGTGTGCTCGCCAGACAGACAGAGAGAGACATAGAGACAGAAAGCGAGAAATCACCCCCGCAGGAGGGATAATCATGCCGCAATCCCTTCTCCTCCATTCTTCTCTGGGATCTTGGGCACGCACGCACACGCACCCGGCATGAGTTTTAAGCCACTTCCCACTCCAGACAAACCTCTAGAAGGAGCAAATACTTCAAAAAGGTGACTCTTAGAAGGAGTCCTGATCTATTCATAAATGTTTAAAAACACTTGAGTGTTCACAATTTTTGTCTGATTATTGTACTGATATTTCTATAGTATAATAATCAGACCAAAACAACACGAGGCAACGCCATCATGCTATAGACAAAAGTGGAGATTGATATAATTATCCCATCAACTTAGACGATGTTCATGATAATAGTTGGATACCTTAAACTCCCTACTCATCTCCCAAAGTGCAAGTGTGTGCATGCACACACACATATAGTCACCCTCCCAAATTTGTATGTGTAAATTTAAATTTATGATACATCAAGAGAAATGTCACACATGTTTTCACTTTTATTGAATAAAATACTACAAGATTTAGTTTTTATTTTCCGAATTTTCAAGTATTTTTTTAAAATTTTGCACAAAATGGAATTAGTTTGACTAAAAGACTAAATATATAACAAAATAATTAATTAATATAATAAATCTGAGTAATGGAACTGGAAAATAAGCTTAAAAAGACAAATATGGTTTACTCATTTCCTTTTAGTTATGAATTTCATTCTTTACCATCTTAAATGAAGACATTCTAACTTTTAAATTTTTCATTTTGCTAGATTTGAAAGGTTAATGTCAAGATCCTTAGAAAAAGAAGACAAACACTAAAAAAAAATTTGAATAATACCAACTTTTTAATTCATTAAATATACTTTGGTAAGAAGAATTTACTAATATTCCAGCGTCTAGTGTTTTATTTATTTATTTTTGTTTGAGAGGTTTTTTCACTATAGGGCGTGTGTGCTCGCCAGACAGACAGAGAGAGACATAGAGACAGAAAGCGAGAAATCACCCCCGCAGGAGGGATAATCATGCCGCAATCCCTTCTCCTCCATTCTTCTCTGGGATCTTGGGCACGCACGCACACGCACCCGGCATGAGTTTTAAGCCACCGGGTCCGGGACGCGAACCACAGTTGACTACGTGGGAGTCCAGCGACATAGCCATTACGCTAACTGCTGGTTCCCTAAAATGAATTTCTAAACAGGTAACTTGATTCTTTTCTTTTAAAATATCAAGTTTTATTTTAATTAAAATAGGGCAGTTCATTAAACCATCCTATAACAACCCATAAAGTAAAAGAACTTCTATGGTAAAGTCAGTTTTTCATTTGTGATTTTTCAAGTTTGAAATGTCCATTATTAATTTTTTAAAAAGTGAAACATAGGTATTTAAGAGCAGGTATAAAGTAAGTCTGATATCATATTCAAGAAAATTAAATTGTATTTGAGGTAATATGACAGATTTTGAAAACACAATTTGAACCTTTGATATTAGTCAATGCGTATTTACCTAAATTATCATTTGGTACCTAAAATATTTCATGGATACTCTGTCAAAGAGTTATTCTATAGGAAGGATAGTTTCTTATGGCTCTGGGAAGCAGTCCTCAAAACTCACATACCCTTAAATATTGCAATAATACCTAATATTATGTTTTAAACAGAAGATTAAATGTAGTCTTCCACGTTCTCTAAGTTCTCATTCTGTTTATTCACTTTCTTTTGGTAGTTGTCTAAAAGCCAGAACCCTGCAGGTTATTTTGCTTAGAAATGTTTAAACCAGACTGCCAAAATCCTTTCCTACAGTTTTTTTTTTTTAATAAAACATTTCTCAGATGTATAGGAATTCTTATTTGTCGACAATCTGCATGAATCTAAAATTAAACACAACAACAGCAATTCATGTTGAAAAGAATTTATAAAGAAGAAAACCATGGCAACAGAATAATTTATTTTTAACTGCACCAACCCTTATCTCTATTTTCACCCCAAAACTAAGCACACTAAAGCCATAACTCTTCCCAAGCAGCCTTGTTTCCATTGTAATTCTGCAAGAGTCAAAAATAGCAACAGGAATTGTCATATTTATATTACTAAGTACTGGGCAAGCCTTGCTGCTCTTCCTATTTACATGCTTACATTATCCTGCAAAGAGCCTTTGAGGAACTGGTTGTCAAGGGGAAGCTCAGCAATTGCATACTTACAGGGTCAATGCCGCTGCTAATGCCAGTAACAAGCTCTCTTGGTGACATTAGGGGCTTGATTTAGTTACTCGAAGATTCTACATTTTATCAGAAGTGAGACCACTAAGCAAGGGAAAGAACAGCTATGACTGTAGCTTGTCCCCACATAGCTTCCCTTGGCTGTCAGGAGTCCTGCGTGTGCATGGCATCTGCTTAGCTCTGTTTTTGCTATATCAGAGTGTTTTATATTCCTGGTCTTCCATCACAATGCCAAAAGAACTTACGCTTAAAATGTGTTATTTTCCTTAACCAAAGGTTTACAAACTTCAGGCAAAGACTGTTGTGTGAAAATGTCTTGGAAGTGCTCATCAGAAATTTTTGTGGGATTGATAACACTAAAAAAGATATTCACATTTTCCCTTTAATAATTTCAAAAGCAATTCACTTTCAAGACTGTCAAATACAAGAAAGTCTAGTAGCCTATTTTAATACATATCAACCTATTGGATACAGTACTGGCAATGTATCTTTCATAATTCCTTTGTCTATTTTGATTTCTGTTAGCTCAATTGTGTTAGGGTATCTGATGATAAGAGTTCATTTCTCATTGATTCAGTTAAGCTAGTCATCTCAGGAGGATCCTAAAAGAAGCACAGGTTTTATAATTGAAGATCAAGGACATGGATAATAGAAGTAGACACAAGAATATATTCTTTCTATAAGAGCATAAAGGGCAATAACCCAACAACCCAATTGAATCACATAAAAAAAAATGGATCTTTTCTGAAATAAATGGAAAATCTGATAGTTAAAAGGATCCTGGCCCACTTTCCTAGGAACCATACTCAGGGTATAATAAGAGACCAGTAGACGGTTACTTATTATAAAGGGGCTGGTTACCACCAGAGAACAGGGGCCTTGGGTCCTTATTGGCACATTTCAGCTCTTAATTTGTTTCTGTGGCCGATTTCTCAGAATTTCCCTCCATTCGATTGCTCTGTAGGTCTAGTTGCCTAACCTTGCTTTAGGCAAAGCCTCCTGGAGTATAAACCAAGGTTATCAGGTAGATTTACATTAAAAACTTCAGCAAATTCTCCCAGGCACTTAGAGAAAAGAATAAATATTTACCAGTGGCTTTAAGTACTGCATTTTCTGTGAAGTAAAGCAAAACATTGTTTAGAATTATTTCTATAAAATCAGATACACCCTAAAGTATATTGTTTTTCAGCTTCAGTACAGAGAAACAAAATCTTCGTGCCTTTGGAGAAATTATGAGGAGACAAGCAGGAATATCATACAGGTTCTCTATTTCCACAGCTGAGGTTACTTTATTTTCTTGATTGCTTCTTTGTCTCCAGTGTTTCCTATTTTTAATAGCAGCTCTGAGGATTTATTCAGCAAATATTTATTTTGCTCCTACAAGGTACGACTCACTGCCCATGATTAAGGATAACTGTAGAAGTCCGGCTATGACAGCGTGGAAACAGGAGGGAATCCAGGTGTAAAGAAGGTTTTGGATAGCTATCTCTCGCCATCCTAGAGAGACACAGGAAAAAGAAAACTGCTTAGTAAGTAACGCACATTAAGAGCACAAAAATAAAGAAGACACACTTTCCCCCCCTCCCCTACATTTAGCGGAATAATCTTAAATGACTCTTTGAAAGAAAATTTTACAATATAATTCAGTGGAAAAAATTTAAAGTTTCTTTTTTCTGAGTCTATGGCCAGCATTGCTAAAGTCGATGCCTTTGCATTAAAGAATTTATTAAAAAGTTGATGAAGGTCCAGCCTTGTGGTGAAGTCTGTAGTAAAATAAACTGCAGTGTTGGAAGCCACAGAGGCTATCATGGGTTTGTATTCCCAGGTCAGCTTGAAAAACAGTAGGTACACACAAGTTGTCCAAGATTTCAAAGTACCGGAGGACTCGGGAAAGGCGGTCATGGTGTGACAAGACACAAGTGAAGGGGCTTCTCTTGTGTGTGAACATGCACTCTCTCTTATGAATAAAATAAATAAACTTAAAACTAGATAAAGCTGAGTTTAATAAAGCTTTAATATTTAATATTAATTAGGTAACTAAGTGGCGGGGAAAAATTTGAAGTACCTGAACAAATTGTTCTTGAACTTCTGAGATGCACCCATTCTCCGGAAGATCTAAGTACATAAACTCTTTGTCACCGTAAGCAAACACTAACGAAAACAACACTAATGTTAGCACAAGAAGACCTGAAGATTTTTACCTCAGTATTTTGTTTATAGTCAGCTTATTTATTTAAATTTACATTTAATCATTGTACATCATTACAACAGACAGCATGTTTTTTCAAAACATGTATACAGTGACTATCAATCAAGTAAAAGAGATCATCATATGCATAAATTTCTTCTTGTTCTTTTTTTTTTTTTTTTGGTAGACATTTTTACTATAAGGTGTGTGTACTTCCCAGAGAGACAGAGAGAAACAGAGAGACAGAAAGTGAGAAATTACCTCCCAGGAAAGATGGCCACACCACAATCCCTTCTCCTCCATTATCCTCTTGGAATTTTGTGAATGCACACACATGCACCTGGTGTGAGTTTTAAGTTGCTGGGTCCAGCACTCGAACTGCAGTCAATTACATAGAAGTCCAGCAACATAATAATCACACAATCTGCTGGTCCCACCATATGCATAATTTTTAACAGAGAACTTTATACTCTTTATGTTGGTTTTTGCTATAGGGCATGTGTACTCACCAGAGATACAGAGAGAGAAAAAGAGGGAAAGTGAGAACTCACTCCCCTAGGTGGGATGGCCATACTGCAATCCTTTCTCCTTGGGATTTTGGGCATGCACACACACATGCCTGGTGTGTTTCCCAAGTCACCAGCTTCAGGACTCAAGCCTTGCACTTGGTCATGTGGGATCCAGTTGCTTTAAGTACCATGTCACTTGACTGGCTTTAAGTTTACATTCTTGTGTCTGTTATATGTGTGTGTGTGTGTGTGTGTGTGTGTGTGTTTTCATTTTTTCTCATGAGCTCTTCCCTCCCATCCCTACTATCCACTCCCTCCTATACAGTCTCTGGTATCTGCACTTGCCCTCCTGCTATTGTATCTTTGAATCTTTCAATTTCTAACAGCATGTAGACATTCAATATATATTGAGTGGGGACATACAATGTTTGTCTCTCGTAATCTGACCTCCTCCCATAACCAGCATATTCTTAAATGACTGTTGGAAAGTGCTGATTCAGTTGGAGGGCAATAATAAATATGGGAGGCAATCAATGCAAAGGGAAAGTGTAGGCTAGAAAACAACTGAGACTAAGCCAGAGGAGCAGGGCAAAGTTGTGAGTGCCGTGAATTATTGTCCACTTGCTAGGAAAGAGCCCTAGCTCAGCCCCTGAGTTTTCTGCCGTACATCCTAACCAGTAAACAAACAATTTCTCAGTGTCCATGAGCTAAATCTGAAACAGCCATGCCGAAAAAGCTTAATTATTCCCAATATGTAGACTTGAGAGAAATTGCTTCTTCCCCTGGGTCCTCATAAAACAGTGCATGAGTCATTGGGTGAAGCTCCTGGAGAGAATCCTCACAGGAAGCTGAGGGCACTGCAAGGAAGAGCTGCCTCTTAGTGTGCCCCTCGGGTCCCACATCTACTCTGCCACTCAGTAAATGAAGTCACTTAACCTCTCTATGACCAGATGCTTCAGCTGGAAAATGAGGGCTGGGTGACCTCTTGGACTCTATCCAGCAGTAAAATTTTGTTACTTGGATTCTGACATTACAGTAAGTCCTTAAAAGCCTCTGCTTGCTAACATTTTTCAGCTTGGAAAGAATATTCTTGTAATAATACTGTCTAGATGTGTTTGCGTGTATATATATCCCAACTTCAGACTCATTGATCCACTGTACCCGTATTCAGGAAGAAGCCAGTAATTTAACAACCTCACTAAAGTTGGTAACTGAGAAAAAAGAGAGCATATTTTTTTTATAAATATTAATTCATTTATTCAGTCAGACAACTATTTGATGAATACCTACTAGATGCAAAGTATTGGGGATACAGTGCAAAGTAAAAGGTAGTTAAAATGCACCAAAGACCTTCCAGTGATCAATGTTTTGAAGAAGATGCACCATGCCACCTGCCGGCCCCCTATCTATCTTCTATCTATCATCTATCTATCTACTATTGGTTTGTTGGAAAAGTTGTGACACACTTTTGCATAGAAAAATACGTCATGACTTTTCTGACAACTCAGCATTTCATTACACACACATACTATAAGTTCAGTTTCTCTGGAGAATCTTGACTGTGTGTGTGTGTGTGTGTGTGTGTGTGTGTGTGTGTGTGTACTGATAGGAAAACACATGAAATCTTTTCGAAGGATTTCTATTTCTAGTTCTCCATTGATGGCAACTTTCCATTTGGGGACATTTGGCAGTGCCTTGAGACATTTTGGTTGTCATCACTTGGGAATAATGTTACTGGCATTTAGGCTCCTAAACTGAAATAAGACAGTCCTATAACAAAAGGATTATCCTGTAGCTGAGAAACTGTCATATCTGAATGAATTGCCACTAGAATGTCTGCAGAAGACTGAGGGTAGAAGGTTAGAGTGGAGTGGTGGCAAAAGAGGGCAGAGAATTTTTTATATTTCAAAAATATCTTTCTCTGGCCCAGCTGTGGTGGCACAGGCAGTATGGTTGCTGCAGTGTATTGCTTGGAGATACATGGGAAGGCTTCAGGTTCACATCCCAGATCTACCTGAACACACCAAGTATGTTTGTCTTGCTACAGGGCTGGGAGCAGACCATGGCATGTAGGTCTTGTGGAGTGCCCCTCCCACCTTGTCAGGTAGGAAATAAATGAATTAACTTAAATTCAAAAATACATTGCTCTGAAGGAAACCCATAGTAGGTACACATTGTGATAGAAGGAGTCCTAAGAAATATTTCTGTCAATAGCAGCCTTGTAAACCTTAAGTAAAATTTGTTTGTTTGCTCTCTTTCATACTAGTGCTAATTAATTTATATATTTTGAATCATAGCTATAAAAATTCTAGATCCCATTTAACAGGAAGAAGGAGAAAGTCAGCAACTTTATTTAAATGAGTTAACATGCAGGAAACATGACAACATTGAAAATGTTCATTGTTATATGTTATCTTGTTCAAATGACATGTGACACCAATTACCATAAAATTAATACATTATGTATTCATTTATTTTTTAGTTTTCTATAGGGCACTTGAACTCACTGGAGTGGGGCAGGATCTCGGGTGGGGAGGGAGAAAGCACCCCAATGGGAAATGATCATACTACAATTTCTTTTCCTCTCTCTCTCCCTCCTCTTGGCATTTTGGGCACATACACACATGCTCTTGGCATGTCTCTCAAGCCACCAAGTCCTAGACTCTGCCAACGTAGGTTCTGCTCACCATATCCAACATGCCATGGGTTGGCCCAAGAATCAATTTAACTTCTAATTATTCAACTTTTAGACCTAAAATCATTTTCAGGAAAGACTGCAACAGATTTCTCCAGATTTCCATATGGTTAAGTGTTATTGAAGCTTAGCTCTACAGGAAGTCATAAATATTCCAGTGGAAAGGTAATGAAAACTAAATCCTGAGAGCTTTCATTTGAAGCCATAGGAGTAGCTGAGATCTGAAGGGAAAGGATTTTGACTGCAGTCAGAAGTTTTTGGTATTCTGGTGATAGATGTGAAATGAGGAAAAAGTACATTCAGACAGCACGGTATGCCACTGACCGGACACTCTCTAGTACCCTTCTCATCCACAGTTTATTGTCCATTCAGTTTACCGTACCTCTGACTCAGTAACTGCACATCTGGTTTAACCACTGCACATCTTTTTTAAAAATTTTTAATTTTTTAAACTTTTTTAATTCCATGAGTGTGAGAGACAGAGACAGAGACAGAAAGAGAGAGAGGTCCTTCAACAGGGACACTCCACTCCACCCTCAGTCTCAGCCAGCCCTGGATCATGGGCATATGTTTGCTTGGTATACACAGAGAGGTCTCTGGGTGTTAACCTGACAAAGTGCTGCATTTTATCCTGTGCCACTGTCTGGTCCCTGAACATCATTTTATCTAACCCTTTCTGTCTAGTCTTCAGGACAAAAATAGATTGCAGATATACATTTATAAACAAATTTATATAGGATTTTTTAAACAAGATTTTCTTTTTAATTCTCTTAAAAACAGATGACATGAGGCCAGAAGGTCGTGTGGTGGTTAAGTCACTGCATTCCCACATTGACCCTGTTTAGGTCCTGGACTCGGTTACTTGAAAATCATGCCAGGTGCTTTTGTGTATGTGCTCAAAATCCTGAGAGGAGAATGAAGGAGTGGGGTTGTAGCATGGGCATCCACCCTGGGGGATATTTCTCACTTTCTCTCTGGCAAGTGCAAATGCCCTATAGCAAAAACCTAAAGAAAAAAAATGTTGAATACTGAAAAATGATTGTTGGAAAATATTGACTTGAGTATTTGGTAAGTCTTTAATTTGTCTTCTAAATTCTGATTGAACGAAGTGTATTGGCTTGCCTAGAACTAACTTCATCAATGTGCCAATTCTCACTGTATTTTCAAAGTATCAAACACATCTTTTGAGCTTTAGAGATAATGTCAGGAAAAAAAAAAGTGGGTGGGTTATGAAAGAATGCTAAAAATCTGGTGGAAACAGCTAAAAATGAAACTCTCTTCAATGTAAATATTAAAATAATTCTCTCTAGATACTAAATAAATGAATAATTCAGAATGTTATGCTGGCTGGACAATAAACACCCATAAAAGTATTGCTTAAATAGACAAATCCTAGAGTATTAGAATTCAGGATATTCCATTCATTCTCATCTTGTTGAAAAAAATGCACATTATTCTGTGTCAAGCCTTCCAAATACCTTTATTAATATGTATCTTTAAGATTTTTTCCTTTCTTGCTTAAGCATGCAAACAAGCAAACAAACCTGAATATTAAAATGGAAAACTTGTGAAAACACAGTTCATGTTACCAATTAGCAATGTGCATTAAACAGATTCTTAACAGCTGATATTATCAGAAAAATGAAAGAAGATTTGACACTTAGAATTCTATGTGTTAAGTCACTGAATATTGAATTCAGAGGGCTTTCGTGTACATTTTTACAACAATGAGTTGCACGTCTTCCTTTCCATACCTGAGTTGGCTTCCACACTATTTAGCTCTCAATGTTTACACGTATTCACCTTTCACTCACAATCTTGCTAGGAGGAATTGCGTTTCTTTGGAAATAGAAGCAAGCTAGCTGGTGATTAAGACGAAGTGCTGATGAACAAATACCAGCTGCGAGGCGATGTCTGTAATTTTTAATGACTGGAGTGCAAAGTACTAGAAGTCTGATTTATAACACCAACAACCTTCCTTCTCTTCCTACATTATATTTTAAATCAAAGAAAGCAAAGATTTTAAAGAGGAACTATGTGACCAGTGTTCACACTGGAGTCCTGAAATCAATCTGCTACACTGGAAGAAACTTTAAATGCTAGAACATTTTCTTTCATGCTTTTGTATATTCTTTTTTTTTTTTTTTTAATATTTATCCTCTCTTTGTCTAGTTGGCTGACAGACTATTTCCAAACATTTATATGACTTCTGTTTATGTGTTCCAGAGAGGAAAAGATCTTTTGTTGTAGGTAGTAAAAATCAAGCGAAACAGATAGGGTCAAGATTTGCCAAAAGTCAAAGGTCATGACAAGTGAATGACTGGAGAGGCCTTGAGGTCAGAGGTGCAGCTGGAATCCCATAACCTCCACTTCACTTTTTACATCACAAAAGAGAATGCTGCTTTTCTAACTTCTGTGAAGGAATCTATACACGTGTTTACTTTTTTCTTTGAAAAATTATTTCAAAATGATTCTGCCCATGATTATTTTTCCCCTTGAAACCAAGTGGCATGAAATAGACTTTGATATAAATGGAATGTCTCCTTAGTCTTTTATTAGTATTCTATATTGGAAACCTCGAGGAGGAAGCACTAACAGAGATTAATATGTTTTTTAAATGGAAAATAAGCACATTTTTTTTGAAGATCAAAACACAAACCAAAGAAGTACATTCATCTTCGTTATTTTCTTTTTCAATTCCATGTATAGTTATTGACTGTACCTACAAATTTGTTTTTTCTTGAAAAAAATAAGAGTAAGAGTGATTTGTAACGCTTTCCATTTGGATTATGTCTTTATGTTAGATTCTGAAACTCAAAATAAAGTTTTCTAATAATAACCATTCAGGTGTCATTTTAATGTTTGTCTATTTTTTTTTTTTCCATTTAAAACAACTAAAACTTCAATTGTTACAGGTCCACTGTTTAGGTCAGAATGTCTGTGGCAAATCTCAGGATATATTAGTAGGGGCTGATGTATCTCTACCATGTGAAATGGAGGGAAAATTCAGAACCTTACTTTTCAACTCCATTGGTTTGTAACCTCTCATGAGCACTTAATTCCTCATAGAGAAGGAAATAGTCACGCCGTAGAATCCCATGGCCCATGAAGGGTAATTGGATAACATCTTTTGAAAGATTTACAAGGCTGCCAAGGATTTTGCCAGCTTTAAACCTGATTGATTCAGTGTGAAAAGATCTGAACAATTCTGACCTAAAAGTTTAAAGACAGACCTTTCCTGTGAAAGTATAATTTAGAGCCTGTAATAAAATTGTATTGGAAAACACCACATTGAAGAACATAGCCATAAATTGCAAAACTTAGCATTATGTTAAAAGACCCTTTTTTTGCTCCATAAATCCTCCAAAAGAACCCTAATTGTTCATCAGATACTTTAATAATGAGGAGTTTTTGTTTTTGCCTTTTCTTCCCCTTTAGAAGAAATTTCTAAAAGAAGGCAAAACTAACTTTGCCTCCCTAACCAAGTCTGAGTTTTTGGTTATATATACAGATGGAATTTACACAACTTTTTTTTTTATTAGATTAAAATAAAGGAAAGTGAAATTTTGTTTATCTTTAGCAAACAAAGAGTAGATCAAATAGATTTGTCCCATATTTTAAATTTTCAAAGCACAGATTCTCATCATATATTCATTTCCATCATGACAAAATATATACACTCATAATTGGTGCAATATTTTGTGGATAGACTCATACGCTTCTGATGACTCAGACAAATTAATGATTAAACATCTTCCAGCTAATTACTTTAGGCCATTAATTATTTATCCCACTCCATAAGTCTGTCATGTATATTAGCCTCTCTCTCCTACTGCCCATTGTAAAAGAGGCAGACTTAGAAAAAAACGAAAACATAAAAATTTCAAGTAAACAAAACCATGGGAGTACAAACATTGTTTTCTTCTTCTTTCAAATTGAGGAAATTGAGACTATGGTATTTAGACAAAAGCCTATTTACCTTTAAACAATAGTCCTTTTGTGACATGCTCACTAACTTTGTGTTTCTGCATCAAATTTCAGTTGGAAGGATTTAGGGAAAAATGCCATGTGTCCACTTACCTGTGATTTGAGCGAGATGCCGTTTGCCTTTTGAATCTTTGAGTCATATGAATTTACTAGTCGTAATGTTTAAACTAAGAATCTTGATTTATAGGCTCTTTTGCAATTATATACATATTTATAAGTAACCAGGAATGATTACTTTTTACATAATTTATGAGAACATTAACAGAGTGTCTACTTCCTTCCCATTCTCTGAAAATTAAAAAGAAAGTAGAATTGTGACATTAAGAAAAATGTTTCAGGGACCAACAGTTAGCGTAATGGCTGTGTCGCTGAACTCCCAAGTAGCCAACCGCAGTTTGAGTCCTGGACCTGGTGGCTTAAACTCACGCTGGGCATGTGTGGGTGTGTGCCCAAGATCCCAAGAGGAGAAAGGAGGAGAGGGGATTGCAGTGTGGCCATCCCCCGGGGGGGGGGGGTGCATTTT